TCTCCGTTTCCTCTACAACTCGCTGTTTGAATTCTGCTATTAAACGCCGCCTATAATAATTCTTTTTTTCTTAGTCCAATACTGTAATTCAGCTGGTTCTATATAGGAAACTTGGTTAAATAGTTTTTCCTTCTCTATTCACAGCGGGGAATCCAACATTGTATTATATAGTCGAACGCAAGGGTTTCTTATAAGTAACAGCATTATTATACAAATAGATAAGCGTACTAGTCATAGATAATTGATATCAAATGAGAACGGAGACGCTTCTTCTCCAATTGTGGATTAAAACAAGTATGAATTAGACAAAATATGGCATTTCTTTTGCTATTCCTCAAGATAGTTTGGACGAAATCAACGTTATGATATGAAGAAAAGTTGGATTTTGGGGAATATCTTAATAATTCCATACCATTGGATATTTGATTTTGCATGAAAAGTTAGCCGGAAAAGAATTCGCAAATCAGTCTGATTAGAAAACGAATAAAGTTGTGAACCTTTTGTATACATGGGTAGGCATCTAACAAATAAAAGTTGACCCTATCAGCAGGTACCCACGAAAAATGTGAATTAAAAAGGACTGGAGGAAGGAATAACTGAGGAATTGAGGGAACTAGAGGCATGTATTAAGGTAGATCAACAATTCCCTTGTTTATGCATTTTATTCAAGAATTTTTGGGCCCTGTCTCAGAATCAAGTCGTAAGTGTGATCTTATTTGGTAGAATCACTGTAGGAGTATGACGAAAAGAGATCTGAACAATGAGTGATAAATCTGTCTTTGGGACTCAAAAGTAATAAAATTAGGAACCTGCAATGAAGTGATTGTGCCAAGCAGATAGCCAGGCAAACAGCCGATTGGCCGGACTGCTGTTGCCCATCTGACCAACCAATTGTTTGCGCGTCGTCGGGCGGTACTTTTCTGACCAAAGAAGACCATCGGAAATAGACGGGGAATCAGAAACTGGTGATGGAGGCCCACCAAAAGACTTTATTGTTGGTTTACGGTGCGATTTGGTCATGGGTTTAGTATTCGGAGATCGGGAAGAGACAATTTTGGATGTCTCCGAGCACTGCCTATTGGCAGTAAGTATATGCGATAGTGGGACGCAAGGACGGCCAGTAAGTTGAGTTACCTCAGGCGAACAGGACTTGTGAGTATTCAACTTCTCTAAACTTAGACTGATTGGCGACGGGATGGATGGAGAGGTTTTGGAGCATGGCGGCTTTGCCAATTCCCGACTAGAAGAAGACTCAAGAAGAAGTGCTTTAGTGGCAGGTTCAGGACTTGTGGCCAGCGATCCGGAAATAGCTGTGCGTTTACGGATAAGATCGAAGAGTCCATCCTCATCCAGCTGCTTCACATTAAGACTCGAAGCCTACAAAATAAAGCGATTTTAATTAAGACTCTTTGATATTGTAAATTTAATCTTTTTATTATGAACTGACTTTATACTATTCATATCTCTTAGACAATTTGTTTAATTTAAGATAAAAATTAGTTTCAAGAGAATTGAAAAAGAAATCGGTGATAGAGTTTTCAGGATTAACAATGGTTCAGGATATTTAGAAATGAGCCATTTCAATTCATTAGCAAAAACATGC